AGTGGATATCATTTTAAAAAACACAATTAATCTGATTTATCTGTGCAAAAAAATTTAAATTTGACTTAAAACGGGAGAGAAATCATCTGTTAAAGATTATGAGGAAAAGATAAAGACTTTCCATGAGAGAGAGATGCTGATGTCATGCTGATGTGGACGAGTTACTCATGGTTACTCACCATAAGATTACTGACATGATCCGCTCCCACAAATTTGTCTACAAATTGTCGAGAAATAGAAAGAATTTGTACCAGATTCTTAATGATTAAATTTTAATTTTTTTGTACCAAATTTATCATACAAATCAACATACTAAACGATGCCATTGCCTTCGATGATTGAGAAATCATGATCCTGCCACAATTGAACCCCCTCTCATTAATGTCTTACCCTTGAGACTCAAAAGGTGAATATGTCTTATCACTAATTCGCTATAGATGGTGAATGGATAGACCGACGACGAAAATAGGATGGGGTGTGACGACTATTTCAATATTCATATTCGTCTCATATTAATTGTGTGTTATTGTTAGAAACCGATTCCTTTGGGGGTTCTAACTTTATTATTATTAGAGTAATTATTATTATGGTTAGTATTCTTTTAGTCGAATTAGGTTTATCATTAGGGTTTCCCCGTAGTTCCCTATATATATGTACTTTGGGTCATTCGTTATATTAAGCAGAAGTTAATAAAGAATTATCTCCCTAAATTCCTATCTCAATCCTCTCAATTCTTGACCTCAATCCCTCTAAAGGCTTAGGCCGATTCTCTTCTATTCTTCCCCAAATTCTCCTCAAATCCCTAAATCCCCAATTCTATTCTATAAACCCTAAATTCCCAATCTCTAGATCTGATCTAGAAACCCGTTAGAAACTTTGTTTCTAACATCTGGTATCAGAGCCTGGTTACGACCGGTGAGTTTTTTCTCAACTCCCTCAGGGACAGCTTCCGGCCAGGAGAGCTACCAAGGACAGCAATGGAAAAATCAGAGCAGACATGGGCTCAAAAGCAAGAAAAGCTATGGCAGATTATGGAGTACTGGAAGGCATACGCATTGCGTCGCGAGAAGGCAAACGTGAAGGACGGAGGTGACGACGCGACGGAGGGGCAGCCACCGATTACAGAGGCTGGCAATTTTGACGAGACCGGCTGGCAGCCGACTATAACAAGCGCCACGGACGATGACGTTGAGGGAAGCCGCACGGGCGAGGAGCAGACGCCGACGGGTTCTCTGCTGTCCGCGGCGGTTTCACCCTCGAAACTGCTTGCGACTTCTGAACAGCCACCCAAGGCGTCCAGGCAGCCGGCGTTGAACAAGGAAGAAGACTCGGGAGCAAGACCCGAAGCTACAAGGGCTGTCAAATCCCCGTCTTTGCTGTCCGTCGCAAGGGAGAAAGAAGATGCCGCGGATAATGGCGCAGCGGGAAAGCAGCAGCCGACGATGAACAACGAGGACCCCGCGCATGAGACTGAGCAGAAGGTGCAGGGGAGCGAGGTGATCGGAGTAGATAACCAGATCACCGCGACGATCGTGACGCTGCTAGTTCTTTCCCAACCGGCTGCTCAATTTGTTACTAGCAAAGAACCACCCCCAGCGAAGGAAGGCAAGCCAAATCAGCCATCGAAGAAAGAAGATAAGCGGGTTGCGGTCGTGCCGTCAGGCATCTGGAGGGTGCGGTCAATCACCACAATGCCCCCGTGGCCGTCGCCATCACTAGAAGAACTGTCTGGCCGCACTAAAGCTGCGGATTTGTGGTTGGGAATTGACTTTCACAGTTCTAGAGTAGAAGCTAATGTTGATCATTCCATGGGAGTCACAGTTGTGGATGTTGCAAGGATGAATGAAGTAGCTTATGAGCTTGGCAATAAAATAGGCCTCAAGCCTCCACATGGTGTGCTCTGGGAGGGACTTCCAGAATGTGGGAAGACTCTAGCTTGCAAGGCTATAGCAGGTGTTCTGTTTGCCAAGATGGAGGGATGTGAAATTGCTAAAGCCTTATTGGGTAATGGGTTTGCTCATATCAGAGCCCTTTTCGAGAAAATCATGGTAGATGAACCATTAGTTCTATTTATTGAGGAAGTTGATAGGTGTCAAGAGATCTTTAAGCACTCCCGTGGCTGCCTCTGTCAAGCTGCCATTCAAGAGAGGGAAGTAACGTGTTCCTACGTTGCTAGTTGGAGGTTCAGGAAGAAAAAGATCGAGCTGGCCAAATCATCCCATGGTTAGTGGAGATGGCGTTAATTGTCGGGACAGGTGGTCATTGGCTCCTACATCGAAATCGTTGTGGTCGTGTCCTACTGGAATGGCGTTGGAAGGGCACGGCGATGGAGCTAGGATATCTAGGGGGATGGGTGTCAACGCCAAAATTCCGGATCAGGTATGGTCATTGCCAACACCAGCACTCGTCTCTGTCATAGTCACACCATCGCATGCTGCAGCCGAAGAGAACGAGATTTCTGCCACTCATGTGGCCACTAAAAAGTCGAGCTTGGTCGAGTTTCAAGATGATGAGGCAGAGGCACGCTCGCCGTGGGATGTCGCCATTAGGGCTGGAAGTTTGGTACCGGTATTTGGGATATACCGAATACCGTACCGAATTTGTCTATATTTGGTATTATCGAATACATGTATTATTTCTTGGGATTGGGATTGGGATTGAATTTCAATTGTTATTCGGTATTAGGGATTACGGGATTGGGATCGGTATATACCGAAATACCGATCAATACCGAAATATAAGCTAGTGTGTATTTTATCCTATCAACTAGACTCTCTCATTCACTACTGCATGACCCTCGACCACCAAGAGTGTCATTTAATTATACACAGATCATTCCATCACTATTAATACTCATTAATAGTCGTCTCTCAACCTCTAATTCGTCAAATTAAAGATTACGAATGACAAGAACTTGAGATGTCTCTCCTCCTCCATTCTCCTTAATAATATCCTAATTCAAGACTCTTTGCTTAGTCCTTTTCCCCTAAATTAAACAATAAAATCTAATTTATATATTTAATTATTAATTACAAATGTAATTAATTTCATATTCGATAATACCGATTGGGATACCGAAGTACCGATTGGGATACTGATATATTTTGGGATTGGGATTGGGATACCGAAATTATTTAGGGATTGGGATTGGGATTGACTTTAGGGTGTAATTCGGTATTCGGGATTTCGGTATTTGGTATTGGGATACCGATACCGTACCGATTTCCACCCCGAGTCGCCATCACTGCAGTTGTTGCCCAAGTAGCTGCCGCTCCGTTCGTCGTGGTGGAAACCTTTGACGAGCGCTCCATTCCCACCCCGCAACTAATGATCGATGAACATGAGGTGTCTGCTTATGCTGGTGGACACATGGCTTGGTCAAGAGTGTGGAGATGGGAAAGAAATGTCAGTGAGCCTAGCCTTGCTACAAGGCATAACATTCGGGGTGATAAGGAGTGGTTTAGTTGGTGAAATAATTGGGGTAGCTGTGACTGTAGTGGTGGATGCGAAGCGTGAAATGAAGATGGTGGGGAAGGAAAATTCTATGAGAGCCTTGCTGGAAGAATTCAAGGAATTGTCCTTGCAAGGAAGTAAGATTGAAGAGCTATTGTGGGTGGGTAACATGGGCAGTACTCATTTTTGGGAGATGGCAGGATGAGAGTACTTAATGGGACTATGTGCTAGTTGGAACAAGAAATTGAAGTGGTCGCTTCAATGCAATTTCAAGAAAAGGAAGCGGAAGATACGGAGCAGTAGAGATGTTGGTGGGGCGAGAGAGGCGAAGAAGTGGGCCAAATCGATCAACCTTGAGGACAAGATTGGTTTCAAGGGGGAGGAGATGTTAGAAACCGATTCCTTTGGGGTTTCTAACTTTATTATTAGAGTAATTATTATTATGGTTAGTATTCTTTTAGTCGAATTAGGTTTATCATTAGGGTTTCCCCGTAGTTCCCTATATATATGTACTTTGGGTCATTCGTTATATTAAGCAGAAGTTAATAAAGAATTATCTCCCTAAATTCCTATCTCAATCCTCTCAATTCTTGACCTCAATCCCTCTAAAGGCTTAGGCCGATTCTCTTCTATTCTTCCCCAAATTCTCCTCAAATCCCAAAATCCCCAATTCTGTTCTATAAACCCTAAATTCCCAATCTCTAGATCTGATCTAGAAACCCGTTAGAAACTTTATTTCTAACATTTATGTTGGATTATACTTGTGTGGGTATGGAATTGGCGGGTCGACTCATGCTTATATATATTATTTGAATAAAATAAACGTAAAAAATAATTATTTTACGATAAAACAAAGTAAAACACTTTATGAATAGAAAATAGTGATAATAGAATGAGTAATTAAAGGTAAATAACTGAAAGATCAAGTCTTGTACCTATTTAATATTTGATTGGGTGAAATTATATTTGAAATATGAAAAATACAAATAAAATATTGATTTTTTTTGAAATAGAACGAGTCAGAATGAGGTGAGACGGAACAAGCAGGTCGAACGTAGTAATTTATACCCTACCCCACGCTACTACGAGCTAGCTGTCAAACGAGATTTTTCCGAACCTAACGCCAAACTCATGTGAGAAATTTGACTCAATTGCAACCCTATCAACACCATTTTCACTTTTAGCCGGTGACTAACAATTGAACTTTGTTGAAAACAACTTACATATTCAAAGCTCTTTCTTCTTTGTTACATACCTTTCATATTGAACTCTCATAACACCTCAAGCAAATAAAATCACCTTACACAAGTTACACACTCTTACGTTACATTCCTTAGCAGAGCACACAATCCGACTAGCAGAGTAAAAATCCGTTAACTCGAACGAACACCGACGACGAACAATCACATGAAAGATCTACTGTTTCTTGATCATCTTCATGCTGAAATCCCAGAGCTGTTTAGCCAGCTCTTCATCTTGAGCAGGAGCAGTTCCCGGTTTGGATAAGTTGCTGTCCTTGAAGAATTCCCCTGACACCCCTTTCACTTGCGGATGCAGAGCCACATATAGCTGAGTTGCAGCTCCCTGTATTCAACCATCAAACGTACAATGCTATGTTACATCTATGGATTTAACCCTCGTCCAAGAAAGAAACTTCAGCTTCACAACCAATCAAGTAAAGCAGGAAACCACTGTGTGTGTATTCTGTACAGTACCTGGCTTGAAGTTTTGAGGAGGTACTTGATAAAGCTGTTGGAGATGGCTGCACATAACAGTAACAAAAGTATAAGAAAACAAACAACGCGGCGGAGCATGGAAAGTTTGATGGAGTCCAGGCATTGATGAGCATATATATTACCATTCAGAAGGCCATTGTTACGTGCAAGATTCGTCGCGATCTCACCAGGATGAAGCGAATTAGCAGTTATGTTCACCCCTTCTTCCTGCACATTACATTAAGGAAACACACATGCGCTTCAGTGGTAATTAACAATATCATTAACACCATTTGTGGGTGTCAGCAATGTTTTCATGAGCTTTGTTACCTTGAGGCGCCTAGCGAGCTCCTTGGCGTGGAGGATGTTAGCAACCTTGGACTGTCCATAAGCGCGGTAGCAGTTGTATCTGCACCAACAGAACGTTAATGTTAAATTAGTCTCACAGATTTTTGTGCTAGTTGAAGAGTTTGGTGTGTAAAGTGTACTCACTCTGCTTCGTTGTTGATCTTGTCGAGTCGAATGCCTTCATTGTATGCAAATTTGTGGCCATCCGACGATACGAGCACAATCCTCCCTTCGCGATTGCTCTCACGAGCTGTCTTCTTCATCGTGTCCAGCAACAGATGTGTCAACAGAAAGTGTCCTGCACAATAACAAGTTCCATTCTTTTTTAGTCACACCTGAAACTGATATTTCATTCTATTTGCAAAGGATTGAAGCAGCTAATTACCAACATGGTTGGTTGCAAACTGCAACTCTATGCCGTCGGGAGATAGCGAGAAAGGTGGTGCCATGATTCCAGCATTGTTACTGATACAAAAGAAATTCATTAGCGTCACAGAAAAGAACTACTTCGCCTCAATAGCTCGATCGATCAGTGTTGTGTATGTGAATGAACTATTACATGAGAATGTTGAGGGGAAGACAGGATGCGATGTATTCAGAGGCGAACTTCCTGACGGAAGCCATGGAGCTGAGCTCCAACTGCATAACATCAATCTTGGCACTAGGGATTTCGTTTAGGATGGATTCCTTGAGTTTCTTGCCAGCTTCCACGTTTCTCACCGCCATAACCACATGGGCGCCCCGCAGAGCCAAAACCCTTGTTGTGTCAACTCCGATTCCACTCGTAGCTCCTGCGAATCCAAAAAGGGGTTTTCTTTTTCCCAATCAGTAAATCATTTAAACAACAAAAACAAAAAGAAGTGGTAAACAGAGTAGAAAGCTGAAACAGGGGACGCATCTAGTTCTATCTATCACTCGATCAGTAGTAAAAAAAAACCCCCCCAGTTTCCAACTTTCCATCCTTGGTTTCTCAGAACCCAACAGGGGAAGAGGGGAGGAGTAAACGAGAAAATCCCAGAAGATGAAAGAGGGAAATAAGCAGAGACCTGTAACAATGGCGGTGAGGCCAGTTGCATCGATTCCTTCGGTTACTTCTTCAGCAGTCGAGCGAGCTGAGAACCCAGATGGCCCTTTCCACCCAAAAATCCACATTTCTTTATTTCCTTCTTTGATATCGCTTCCACGTCTTCTTCTTCTTCTTAGCAGCAAAGGTGATTGCAGGTGAGGGTTTGTTCTTGCTTATATGTTATACTGCTCCGTAGAAAGAAAATACGGGGAAAAAGGAATCCGGTTGTTCTAGATGACGGGATTAGCTATGGGGAAAGGATTGATGACAAATGAGTAAACTTGAGAGACTGAGGAAATGGGTAAGACAATTTATAGATACAATTTGGTGGCCGCCATGGGAAACCAATCAAATCCCCCGCCACCTTCCTCTGTTTTCATTTTTTCTTTTTCGATAGGCAGGCAGTAAGGGGTCTTTGTTTATTATATCCAAAAAGCAAAGTTTGACCTTTCCTTTTCATATAATATGAGGAATCCTCGTCAGGATTTTCTTTCAAACAAGTCAAAGTTCCAATTACTACTGTCCCCTGGGGACCTAACGGTAATTTACCATTTTTATTAAAAAATTCACACTTTTTGAAATTTAACATACACACCTAGGGGCTGGGGGTCGGCATCGATTCGAGAACCGATCGAATCGAGATAGGGCCGGACAAAACGCAAAGAAGAAATGAAGACCAAATACATGTTTAGTCCATTTGGTTCCATTAGTTCCGATACAAATTCAATTTCGATCCATTTCTGTTCATATCTAAAATAATTTATAGGATCAAATCGAATATACATATATTCATTCAGTCCGGTATGAATCGGATCGTTGTCCACCCCTATATACACCCACCTAATCACTTAATCTCTTGCTCAGTTTGTTTGATAACAATTAGGCCAAAAAAATGTTAATGTCCCAATTTCGGTCGAACTTTAAAATAAAAGATGTTCGATTTGAACTATTTAGAATCTATGAATGGTATGAGTTATTTGTTTTATACTCAATTTTTTTTAACTATGCAACTCATTGTTGTTTTGGGTACTATTACTCCTTAAATTTGCCTCATAAATGTCATTATATTCTTTTAGCATATATACGGCAAGCAATATAATCAAGCAAGCAAAATTGACCTAATTAGTATTTAAATATAGGAAACGAGTTTCCCTTTTGGTTCTACACTTTCTCTATTGTGAGTGAGCGTGCATTTGGACTTCAAAGATGAAGGCTCAACAAATTCCCACATGCATGCAGGTGAAAATTAAAAAGATGGGTTATTTGTTTATTTATTTATTCTTACAACTATATTAAAATTAAAAGATGTATGCTGTTGACTGGAGAGAAAAATGATGGCTGAGAGGAGAGTTTGAGCTATAGCATTAGCATGTGCTTCAATCTCTCAAGAAAATGATAAACTCAACAACCACGGCCCAATTAGATTTGGATCCTTCATCTCCTTCCACAATCAGTCAAATAGTCAGCCGCCATTCTTCATATTGCGTAAGCTTGATCATAGAGACTCAAAGACCCATCTCGATCCATCTCAAATATGAGAATCTGATTCAATCAGTTTGTCTGGTCAATTTAACATCACAATCTTTTGATCCTGTAAGTGTTGGATAAATCGAGTAAAATTAGGCCTGAGTCACTTTTTGATCCCGTAATCCATGACAATAACTAGTGCTATAAAATTGCTCATAACAATACATTGGATCTGTTTGTAAAGCTTTAAAGTTTAGATACTATAATCCAAGATAAAAATATAAATGTACTAAAATGTAATTTTACCATCAAATTTTTTAGACATATTTGAAAAAAATCAGCATAGATACTAAATTATAAGAAAAAATAAATTTGGGTACCAAAATATAATTTTAAAAAACTCAGTATGTCGATTTGAGTCGACCCACTGACCGGTCACGTCCCAACCTTAGACGATCAGGCAGGGTAAAAAAGGAAACAGTGACCTTGAGACAGGTCAGATATATAAGCTGACTCCTCAGGGGCGGGACATACACTATCAGAAGCAAATCATGCCAGTTTTCAATCCTATATTCTAGAATTAAGATGCGATCTAAATTAACTTTTAAACACAATAATATAATGAGAAAACATCGTCATTTAAAATAAAATATCTTTCTGGCACAAATATAATACTTTATTCATGATCTTTAGTCATGAATAATAATATAAACCATTAGACAAATACAGCTTTTTGAAAGTTCCAATTAAGTAGATAAAGTGTAAAGTTAAGGGTTATATTGATACGATATTTGGTGGATTGCCCAAATCACGGTTTAAAGTGGATATATAGCTGGTGGTGGGCGAAACGGTTGGTAGATTGGTTAGGGGATTTTCAACGTGTAATGGAAAGTTCTTTCGTGCGTTTCATTTCCACCATTTTTCTACATAAACAAAATGGGCCGCCATTCTTAGGAGGGTTCTAGATCCACCCACCACAGTACAAATTAAAGCTTAGCGTACAGGTTTCCTCGGCGCCACTTTTGACCGGCAATCATAATAATAAATAGGCAAAATACAGTTGTATAGCCATAATTTTCGCGTTTGTGATAAATATAGTCATAATTATTCGAAAACCAAAAATAGCCAATTCCGTCCATCTCTTTAACGATGTTACTTAACAATCTGATGTACTGACGGAATATACTGAGTTGGCGATTTATGGTCCCCACCAAGCTGATGTGGATTAAAAAAATTAAAAAATAAAAAATCATTATTTATCTAATTTAGTTTAAAAACAAAAAAAAAAATTGCAACCTTATACCCACCGCCCATCTTTCTCCCATCTTCCTCCTACTGTACATCTCCCTAGGTCTTATCGCTTCTCTGGTAGTTTGTTCTGCAGGATGGCAGAACACTCCTCGTTGAGCATCACCGTTGACAGCTCCCCAAGCTTCGTCTTGTTGGTGAGGAGATCCTTCATGAACTTGGCATACTTGGGCATCTTCGATAATGCCTCCACGAAGGGCATGCTTATGTTTACCTGCTTCAGCATTGCCATGAATTTGGCAAACTCAGTCTCTAGTCGGTCCTTGTGCAACCGAGTAGGAAAGGGAAGCTGTGGTACATACTCCTTCACCACTGGTTGCGGTTTAGGAGCAGGCACCTCAACCTCCTTCTCCATTTCTTCCTGATTAGCTGGAAGTGCTGAAGCAGGGGTCTCTCTCTCCTGTGCCCGCACGGGTGGATCAACAGTCATCTTGCCACTCCTGGTGGTGATGGCCTTGCAATGCTCATTTGGGTCCTGCGGATTAGGGATGGTCTGACCAGGTAGAGTACCAGGAGTCATCTGAGCTACAGCCTGGGCAACACTCCCAAGCTGAGTCTGTATATCCCGCAGCACAGCCTGTGTGTTTCTCTGACCAGCTTCTAGCTCCAAGAATTTACCTGAAGCTTTCTCCATGAACTGCTCGATGTTATTGAACTTGTTTGCACTGGAGGTGGCCAGAGAACCTACCAAATCTCTCAATTCCTCCATCGGGTCACTCTGTACTGGGGCTGCAGGTGCTACCCCTGTCTGATGAAATGGTCGCACCTGTGACTGAGGTGGAACTGGCCCCTGTCTGGGCGGGTAGAGAGGCTGCTGCGGCTGCTGAAATTGCCCTTGTCTGGGCTGGTAAGGAGGTCTCTGGAAGCCAGGTGGTCCCTGTGGGACTGGTGGTCTGGGGTTTTCCCCACCCCAGGAGAAGTTAGGATGCTGGCGCCACCCCTCGTTGTAAGTGTTGATGTAGGGGTCGAAGCGCCTGGCATTACTGATGAAGTTCACCTGCTCCTGGGGAGTAGACGACTCCCTCATCGCCTGACAGTCCTCCACAGTTTGATGGGAGCTCTCACACCACTGGCAGTGCATCGCATGCGGCTGTCCTATACCTGTAATCAATCCAGAGCGATCTATGGCTGAAACCAGCTTCGATACCACCTGCACCAAATCAGATGACTGGGTGGCTACAGCATGCACACCCCGCCCTGGTGCTCTTCTCGATCTCCTGGAAGTTCCCCAATCATAGCCCTGCTCTGCCATCTCTTCAAAAAGTTGATTCAGCTGTGGTGGGGTCTTGGTAAGCATATTCCCGCCACAGACCGAGTCAATCAGCTGCTTATCCTCCGGGAAGAGAGCATGGTAGAAGGTGCCCACCTTGAAGGCGTTGGTGAACCCATGGTTGGGGCACTTGAGGAAGAGACTGGTGTATCTCTCCCAAGCATCCCGGATGGTCTCATCTTCGTCTTGAGTGAAGTGGGTGATTTGCTTCTGGAGGTCCGCCGTCTTGGACGGGGGATGGTAGCGAGTGAGGAACTTGTCCACCAGGTTGGCGAACGTAGTAATCGAGCCTGGAGGTCGAGTGTCTAGCCACTCCTTGGCCTGGCCCTCCAGAGTAAACGGTAAGTACCTCAACTGGATGGCATCGGCTGGGATCCCATTTATCTTGATTCCATCGATCAGCTCATGGAATCGCCTCAGATGTGATCGGGGGCACTCCCCCTCCTTGCCACGGAACACCACCGAACCGCGCAACATTGTGATGACCGAGGTGCTCACCTCAAAGTTGTTCGCTGGCACATGAGGGTGTTGAATGGGTGACCTCATGTCCGCGGCTCTGGCGGTCCAGTAGGATCCCATGGTCTGCTCCTCCGGAATGGCCACATCATGGTCCTGCGGGTCAACCATCTCCTCTTCGTCAGTGATTTGCAGCTGTGCTAGCGCCTCCTCCACAGCCAGTCGCGCCTTTAGAGCCCGCTTGAAGTTCCTGCAGGTCTGTTCAAGCTCCTGGTCTAATGGTAGTAGTTCTCCTGACTGGCTATGGGTCATGCATTACCTGCACACAACCGGCAAAAACAACCCGTGAAGGCACACAGGTGGAAGAGAGAACAATGCAGTAAAGGAAAAGCTAGAGTAACAAAATTTCACGTTTCCCCAATAACCTAGAGGGTCCCCGGCAACGGCGCCAAAAACTTGACACGCTAAAACACAACACCAAACTGCGACCAAGTGTAATCGCGGTCCGGGAATGCAGTAAAGTAGCAAGTTCTATTATCAACCCGGGGTCTAGATCTACTGCCTACTCCGTGATTATCTATTATCTATCAAACTAAGTCAAGTGATTGTTGTTTTAACTAAAAGCAGTAAAAAGCAGGAAATGGTTCGGTTTTCTGAAGTCAAGGAAGAGTCACTCGGGAATGAGTCCCCCTAACTCCTTAGTTAGGTCTCAATTGTAATTACCCTGGGTTGATTTACTATTGATTAAACTGCGAAAGATCCGACAGTAGCTTGGAATCTCTTAAGCTGACCAAGCCCTCTCAGTCAAACTACCCGGCAGACGACTAGTCTTCACCGGAATAGAAAGCT